GGGACGGAGGGGGACGAGTATATTTTAATTATATCAGACTCATTGGAAGAACCAATCAAACTATCAGAAATTTCAATGAGAGGGTATTGGCTATTTCAAAAGAGATGGCTTGAATTAGTGTAAGTCCTGACTAGATGAGGGTGAGTGAGTGAGTGAGTGGGTGAGTGAGTGGGTGAGTGGGTGAGTGAGTGAGTGAGTGAGTGAGTGAGTGAGTGAGTGGGTGAGTGAGTGAATGAGAAATCACTGAGTCATGACGACCCTATGGGACAGGGTCGAACTGCTCCTGTGGGTTTTTGAGACTGTAAATCTTTATGGGAACCAAGAGCCAAGTCTTATCTTTCTCCCACCGGGCTGGCTGGTGGTTTCAAACTGCTGACCTTAGGACTGCTATGAGTCGGCATCGACTCGATGGCAGTGAATTTGAGATTTGCTTGTTTGTTTTTTAATTACTGAATATTAAATTAATAGGATCCCTGTTTTTGTGCACACATTCTTCCTCATTTCCCCCAAAGGCTTGCTGATTGTCATTGGGTGAAAACATTACATTCAAGCCACATTGTGAATAAATGTAAATTAAATTTAAATGGAAGTTTAAAAGAAAGTAAACATAATATAAACAAAATATAGTTAAATCAAATGTTAGTTTAAATAAATATAATTGTGAAAAAATACATAAATATAAATTATATATAAGCATAAATATTACATAAAATATAAAATAATCAGACAAAAATAAATATGAATAAAACAAAGAGATTACAATAAATATAAACATGATTAAACAACATAAAGCAAACACAATTACATATGTACCTATATTTCATTTATGCTTGCTTCTATTTACATTTTATATTTCCTCTATCCTATATTTTATTCATTCTTATATATTTTCAATACATACTCTAGCATTATATTAATGTTTCATGTAAATCCCTTTTAATTTACAGATTTCAATTTTGATGTTTCTATTTAATTTGTATGTCTTTGATATTACTATTAAAATGTGTAAAAACGTAAACATAAGTCTAAAATAAAAACGAATAGGCAAATTAAAATCAAAGCAAAGTTAAATTCTAAGTGACATCAAATGGAATATAAATTCAATGAGACAGGAAAATGAGTGTAGACAGCATGTCAGGTGGGTGGACTCAGTCTGGCTCACGGGGACCCTAGCACACAGTGCATCCTCGCTGGGGCGATTTGAACCCTTGCTGCAGCCACTGTGCCGGGAGCAACGGTCTCTGGACGGAGCTGCCAGGCAACTTCATGGCTTCTGCTTTCTGGAGGAAGAGTGACACCGCAGGAAACTGGCCTTCTTTGCCCAGAAGTGGGCATAAGGAAGGGCAGCCCCAGGAAGCCCCCATCCACCCGCTGGCCATTTGGAGACAAGGCTGTCTTTTTAAAGGCGCTGCTGCAGCGGTTCCCGCAGGTCCTCCCGCAGGCTCAGAAAGTCCCTCTTGAAACTGCGCCAGGACACCTAACTGCAGGCCCAGAACCTGCTCCCAGGTAGATGGCCTGTGTGCGTCCTAGCATGTTTGCACCCTGAGGGCTGCACCCACTTCCTTGTCTTCTAGATGAAAGAGGAGCCTGAGGTAGCTGCACCCCAAAAGGAAATGATCCTCGTTTCTACCCCATTTGTCAGCTGGCTTCCCAGTGGTTCCCTTTGACATGACCTCCCCTGTTCACCTGCGCGACAGCGGTGGGAGGGAGGAGGTGCAAAAAGTTGCCTTTTATTTATTTATTTAATGTTGGGGAAAGCCCTATCTTAAAGTTATTCTAGGTCTCAATCAAGAGAACAGATCCCTTAAAAATAAAAATATCAAATATGCACTTAAAATAGATATAAACATCTGGGAATAGAATAGTACTAAAAATTAAACTTCAAACTGAACATTGTGTATTAAAAATATACAAAGGGTAATCTATTAAAATAAATACAAATGTAAAACAAACATAAAATTGAATATAAACATAACATATACCTAAAATAAATACATGAATACAATATATATAAGTATAATCGATAAGATATAATCATATAAATAATTATATTGTATAAAAATTGAAAACGTTTTATAATGCATAATACTATGTTGCACTGGTGGTGCAGTGGGTTTATGCATTGAGCTGTCAACCACAAAGGCAGCAGTTTGAAACCACCAGCTGCTCTGAGGGAGAAAGATGAGCCTTTCTCCTCCTGTACAGAGTCGCAGTCCTGGGACCCACAGGGCGGTTCTCGTCTGCCCTGCAGCGCTGTTATGAGTCAGGATGGTCTCAGTGGCAATGAGTGGTATTATATTGAACAGTTGTAATATAAGTATACATGAAATCAATTAAATATTATAACAGTTGTACATAAACTTAACTAGAAACAAAATTCATACGAATGCAAATTAAATGTAAATGCATGGCAAATTAAAATATATAAATTAAATGTAAATATAAAATGAAAATTAATATTATATGATCATTACCATAAATAAAAAATAAATAGAAACATTTAAAATGATGAATTATATAGAAACATGTATGCAAATAAAATACAATTTAAACATACATATAAAATAACACATAAAATATACATTGCATGTTAATCTTTCTGTAAATAAATATAAACATAAATATAACATATCATCTACTATAAATATGTATAAAGTACATCAATATAAATACAGTTCATAATAAATATAACTATAATAAATGGAAGAATAAAATAAAATGTAAATGAAATAAATATGAGATTGAACTAGATATAAATACATTATAAGTATAAAATAAATGTAAGCAAATTAAATTTATGACTACAATATAAAATGCAAATATGAAAACGTATGAACAAAGTATAACTGCAAACATACATATAGAATGTATACACATTAATACATATAATAAATACATTAATACATACAATGGGACCCTAAATGGAAAGAGGAAATGCCATAAAGGAAATAGCAAAACAAAAGCAAACATCAATATGAGACAAATGCTAACCTAAAATAAATTTGAAAATAAACATCTATA